TCTTCCTTGCCAGTCTGGATACCTTTTATTTCTCGGTGTTGTTTGATTACCGTGGCTAAGACCTCCAGTACTCTGTTGAATAGAAGTGGGGAAAGTGGGCATCCTTGACTTGTTCCCAATCTTAAAGGAGAATCTTTCAGCTTCTCATTGTTAAGTATGATGTTGGCTTGGATTTGTCATATATAGCCTTTATTATGTTGAGGTACTTGCCCTCTATACCCATTTTGTTGAGAGTTTTTATCATGAATGGATGTTGAATGTTGTCGAATGCTTTTTCAGCATATATGGAGATGATCATGTGGTTTTTGTCCTTCTTTTTGTTTATGTGGTGGATGATGTTGATGGATTTTCGAATGTTGTGCCATCCTTGCATCCCTGGAATAAATCCTACTTGATCATGATGGATGATCTTTTTGATGTATTTTTGAATTTGGTCTGCTAATATTTTGTTGAGTATTTTTGCATCTATGTTCACCAGGGATATTGGTCCGCAATTTTCTTTTTTTCTTGAGTCTTTGCCTGGTTTTGGTATTAGGGTGATGCTGGCCTCACAGAATGAGTTTGAAAGCATTTCCTCTTCTTCTACTCTTTGGTAAACTTTAAGGAGGATGGGTATTAGGTCTTCACTAAAGGTTTGATAAAATTCAGCGGTGAAGCTGTCTGGTCCAGGAGTTTTGTTCTTAGGTAGTTTTTTGATTACCAGTTCGATTTTGTTGCTGGTAATTGGTCTGTTCAGATTTTCTGTTTCTTCCTTTGTCAGAATTGGAAGATTATATTTTTCTAGAAAGTTGTCCATTTCTTCTAGGTTACCCAGTTTGTTAACATATAGTTTTTCATAGTATTCTCTAATAATTCTTTGTATTTCTGTGTTGTCTGTAGTCTGTAGTGATTTTCCCTTTCTCATTTCTGAGTCTGTTTATGTGTGTAGACTCTCTTTTTTTCTTGATAAGTCTGGCTAGGGGTTTATCTATTTTGTTTGTTTTCTCAAAGAACCAGGTCCTGCTTTCATTCATTCTTTCTATTGTTTTATTCTTCTTGAATTTATTTATTTCAGCTCTAATCTTTATTATGTCCCTTCTTCTACTGACTGTGGACCTCGTTTGCTCTTCTTTTTCTAGTTTCATTAATTGTGAGTTTAGACTGCTTATGTGGGATTGTTCTTCTTTCCTGAGGTAGGCCTGTATTGCAACACAGTTTCCTCTTAGCATGGCCTTGGCTTCATCCCACAGATTTTGCAGTGTTGAATTATTGTTGTCATTGTCTCCATATATTGCTAGATCTCTGTTTTTATTTGGTCATTGATCCATTAGTTATTTAGGAGCATGTTGTGAAGCCTCCATGTGTTTGTGGAATTTTTCATTTTCTTTGCGTAATTTATTTCTAGTTTCATACTTTTGTGGTCTGAGAAACTGGTTGGTACAATTTCAATCTTTTTGAATTTACTGAGGCTCTTTTTGTGGCCTAGTATATGATCTATTCTTGAAAAGGTTCCATGTGCACTTGAGGAGAATGTGTATTCTGCTGCTTTTGGCTGTAGAGTTCTATAGATGTCTGTTAGGTCCATCTGTTCTAATGTGTTGTTCAGTGCCTCTGTGTCCTTATTTATTTTCTGTCTGGTTGATCTGTCCTTTGAAGTGAGTGAAGTGTTGAAGTCTCCTGGAATGAATGCATTGCACTCTATTTCCCTTTTTAGTTCAGTTAGTATTTGTTTCACATATGTAGGTGCTCCTGTGTTGAGAGCATAGATATTTATCATGGTTATATCTTCTTGTTGGATTGACCCCTTTATCATTATGTAATGGTCTTCTTTGTTTCTTGTGAATTTTTTTGTTTTGAAGTCTATTTTGTCTGATATAAGTACTGTAATTCCTGCATTTTTCTCTCTATTAGTTGCTTGAAATATCTTTTTCCATCCCTTCACTTTGAGTCTGTGTATGTCTTTGGGTTTAAAGTGAGTATCTTGTAGGCACCATATAGATGAGTCTTGTTTTTTTATCCATTCAGTGACTCGATGTCTTTTGATTGGTGCATTCAGTCCATTTACATTTAGGGTGATTATTGGTAGGTATGTACTTATTGCCATTGCAGACATTAGATTCATGCTTACCAAATGTTCAAGGTTAACTTCCTTACTATCTAAGAGTCTAACTTAACTCACTTAATACTTAATATGCTATTACAAATACAATCTAAGGTTTCTTTTCTTTTTCTCTTCCTTTTTCTTTCTCCTCCATTCTTTATATATTAGGTATCATATTCTTTACTCTTTGTCTATTCCTTGATTGACTCTGGGGATAGTTAATTTTGCATTTGCTTAGTAATTAGCTTTTCTACTTTCTTTACTGTGGTTTTATTATCTCTGGTGACAGCTATTCTACCTTAGTAACACTTCCGTCTATAGCAGTCCCTCCAAAATAGATTGTAGAGATGGTTTGTGGGAGGTAAATTCTCTCAGCTTTTGCTTATCTGGAAATTGTTTAATCCCTCCTTCAAATTTAAATGATAATCTTGCCAGATAAAGTAATTCTGGTTCGATACCCTTCTGCTTCATTGCATTAAACACATCATGCCACTCCCTTCTGGCCTTTAAGGTTTCTGCTGAGAAGTCTGATGTTAGCCTAATGGGCTTTCCTTTGTATGTGATCTTATTTCTCTCTCTGGCTGCTTTTAATAGTCTGTCCTTATCATTTATATTTGCCATTTTAATTACTGTATGTCTTGGTGTTGTCTTTCTTGGGTCCCTTGTGTTGGGAGATCTGTGGATCTCCATGGCCTGAAAGACTATCTCCTCCCCCAGATTAGGGAAGTTTTCAGCAATTACCTCCTCAGAGATACTTTCTATCCCTTTCTCTCTCTCTTCTTCTTCTTCTTCTGGTACCCCTGTGATGCGAATGTTTGTTCCGTTTGTATTGGTCACACAGTTCTCTCAATATTCTTTCATTCTTAGAGATCCTGTTTTCTCTCTGTGCCTCAGCTTCTTTGTATTCCTCTTCTCTAGTTTCTATTTCATTTATCATCTCCTGCACTATATCCAATCTGCTTTTAATACCTTCCATTGTGCTCTTCAACGATTGGATCTCCAGCCGGAATTCATTCCTGAGTTCTTGAATATCTTTCTGTACCTCCATTAGCATGTTAATGATTTTTATTTTGAACTCCCTTTCAGAAAGAGTCATGAGCTCCATGTCATCTTTCTCAGGGGTTATATTAATTTTATAATGTACCAGGCTCCTTTGGCATTTCATATTTGTATATGGCGCCCTCTAGTGTCCAGAAGCTCTGCTCTCTGGAGCTGCTCAGCCCCTAAAGCAATGTCGGGGGTCACAGGGGAGTGGTATTAGTGCCTGGGATGAGGAAAGAGCTGTTTCTTGCTTCCTGACTGCTATTCCTGTCTCCACTGCCTGAACCAGTGGGCCGAGCACACCGGTATAAGCTTTTGTCCCAGAGCAGCCGGATATGGATCCCTGCTTTCCACAAGCAGCTGGAATCTCAGTCCGTCCAGGAATTCTGCCTGTCTTAGCTTTCCAACCCAGTAATCACGAGAGTATCATGAAAGCACCATGAAGTGTAGGTTTGTGCTCCCAGAGCAGATCTCCAGAGTTAGGTATTCAGCAGTCCCAGGCCTCTACTCCCTTCCTGCTCAGTTTCTCTTCCTCCTACCATTGAGCTGGGGTGCGTGAAGGGCTTGGGTCCTGCAAGGCCTCAGCTTTGGTACATTACCCTGTTCCGTGATGTCTGCTCTTTTCTCCAGTTGTATGCAGTCTGGCACAGCCCTCTTTCCTGTTGTTCTCTCAGGATTAGTTGTACTAATTATATTTTCATATTATATACGGTTTTAGAAGGAAGCCTGTCTCACCTCTCACGCCACCATCTTTAAGCCTCTCTCAGGGCACTATTTGGAATTGTTTTATGTATTTGGAGTTCTACCAGATACTTTCTTTGAGGCAGAAAAGGTGTATGTATATGTCAGAGGGCGAGTTCCATGCTTCTGATCTACGCCAAACTAATTTTGCACATAAGGAACAACCTGAGGCCCAAAACTTTAGGTTTTCTTCCTTCATTTTATACATTTGTTTATCCTGGGTAATCCAGCATTTTGGATTTATCTGGTAATGGTGTAGAGAATAACCAGGAGTTCAAATTCCAGCTGTGTAGCTTCCTATCTGTGTGTTCTCAGGCAAGTTGCTGAACATTTTTAATCTCAGGATACTCATCAGGAAAAAAGGGAATATTATATCTTCAGGATTATTTTCACTTTATTAGAATTTAGTGTGTCTGGGAAGATGATTGAAATTCACAGTGTCTCTCTTAAAAGGCATTTCAAATCATTCCATTACCACCCTCCTTCCCAAATCCAACCATGACCTCCAAAAAATACTATAAAATAAAACATCTTTATTATCAAAGAGGACAACAGAGTAGTCACATTTCCTTTACACTGGCAGTAGTGAATGTCTTCATGGACAAGTAGATCATTCTTGGGGCTTTTCTTTCACCTTCTCACCCCACTCCAGTTACTACATAAGCCACCTAGAAACATGAATTAGGAACTAGAGAATACAAGGAATAAAAGACCTTTAGAGATGAATACAAGAGCAAATAACAGTATTGAAAGAGTTAAGACACACAAAGTGGAATCTGAACTTGGTGGGTTTTTTTTATCTTTAAGATGTGACCTCACAGATGTGCTTGAGAAGAGATTATAAGAATTCTTTCCTCCTGGGGTATTTGAACACAGATTGCCATACTCATCAGTTTTGTTAGTCACTTGCAGTTGCCAGGAAATACAGGCTTTCACTTGGGCAACAGAAGCAAGTAGAGATAATTATGTTAAAAACCACTTTGATGTAAGTTGATCCTGGAGTATTACAAAATTCAGTGTTGCATTCTATCCTGTTACTCTATTCAGTATATGTAAATTACCTTTCTTTTAAGAAGTTACATTTTTAAGTGAATGAAGATAGAACATTTTAAGCTAAACTATGTTTTTTTTTCCTTAGGTCTTAAAGAAAGTGCAGAAGAGATGGTCAAAAACAAATTGGAAGGAAAGGATAAACTGACCCCTTGGGAACAGTTTTTAGAGAAGAAGAAAGAGAAAAAAAGACTGAAAAAGAAACAGAAGGTATCAATAATAATTATGACCAAATATTTATTGAACAACAACTATGTATCAGAAGGTACCAAGTGCTTAGCATCCATAATATAGCCAGTCACTGGAGTAGGCCTTGTTATCATTGCAATTTTAAGAAAGAGGAGAGGTAACCCAAGGCTACCTAGTGATGTACAAAGCCTGGGAAAAGTCCAGAGCCACTTTAATTACTATACTTTAATATTTTACATTTTTATGCTAACTAAATAAAATACATAGTTTAGTCTGGATATAAAACAGTTTGATTCTATTCTGTGTTTTTGAAGACAAGAGGTACATACAGATTTTTTATTTGAGGGAATATACCTACAGATGTTTTTAACATGAATGAAATTTCTTCTATACATTTCTGTTTCTCAGCCTGCATTTTTCTCTTTAATATTCTCACATGGATCTTTTAACATCCTATTGTCATTAAATCCATAATACCCATAATAGGATATTTCTTCTGTGCTAATTTATCTGTGAAAAATCTGATTTGACTTCCATCATTCAGGGATAACATCTTCTCCAGAGTTAGATCCTTAGTAACAGCAGAGACCACTTAGTTTTGCCACTAAAAATACTCTATCTTGTCAATGAAATGTAGCGTTTTAGCAGTACAGTTTCATTGCCTTAAGATGGCATTACTGATCACAGAATTTTCAACGTGAGGAATCTTAAATGATTTTTTCCATTAGACCCTGATGTTTTATAGTTGTAGAGAATTAATTCATCAGAGTATAGCCAGTCGTTAATGGCCAAGCTGAGCCTGGAATCCAGATCACTTAACTCCAGTGTTCTTACTACTGCACTGCATTGTTTATGTCTATACTGTGTAGCCTGTGCTTTTAGTGTAGCTGTGACTTTCAGTGCCTGTGAAGAGAGAGGGCTGCAAAGCTGGCAGATGCAGTGGAGTGGTTTTTATACTCCCTTTTTAGTTTGTTTTTGTGGGAATGGCTAATAATGGGAGGAAATGAGGTAAGGAGTTGATATGCTACGTCTCTTCTCCCCTGGAACTTCCTTTAAAATTAAGTAGGCAGTAAAGTATGTTTTAAATGGAATGATTCCACAAGTTATTAAACCATCAGTTTATTGGAAGACTTACAAGTTGGTGTTTTGGGGTTAATAAAGTAGTCACTCATTTCTGAGACCTTTAGTAACTCTTCTCCTTGCTTTTCATTTGCTGGGTACATTGAGCTTATCAGTACCATTAAAAAATAACATTGTTATTGCATCAAAAAGAATAAAATACCTAGGAATAAACCTAACCAAGGAAGTGAAAGACCTATACCCAGAAAACTACAAGACATTCTTAAGAGAAATTAAAGAAGACACTAACAAATGGAAACTCATCCCATGCTCTTGGCTAGGAAGAATTGATATCATCAAAATGGCCATCCTGCCCAAAGCAATATACAGATTTGATGCAATCCCTCTCAAATTACCAACAGTATTCTTCAACGAACTGGAACAAATAGTTCTAAAATTCATATGGAACCACCAAAGACCCCAAATAGCCAAAGCAATCCTGAGAAGGAAGTATAAAGTGGGGGGGATCTTGCTCTCCAACTTCAAGCTCTACTACAAAGCCACAGTAATCAAGACAATTTGGTACTGTCACAAGAACAGAGCCACAGACCAGTAGAACAGAATAGAGTCTCTAGACATTAACCCAAAAATATATGGTCAATTAATATACGATAAAGAAGCCATGGACATACAATGGGGAAATGACAGCCTCTTCAACAGCTGGTGTTGGCAAAACTGGACAGCTACATGTAAGAGAATGAAACTGGATCATTGTCTAACCTTCTACACAAAAGTAAATTCGAAATGG